TTGCTTTATTTGTGTGCTCCTGAATGATGACTTTTTTTTTTTTTAACTAGTTTGCAAGCTTACTTCCTTCTCTAAGGTTGAAATCTGAAAGCTCTAATACTCATTACAGTTGCTGCTGCAAAGGATAACATGTTTTGAATTAACCCAGAGCTTATTTAAACATATGTTGTCTAAACTTAAGTGTTTTTACAAATAATAAAAGTTAGGAATAGTTTCTATATTTTACATTGAATTTTCATGTTACTATTAATGGGAATTACTAAAATTAATCGGGGTGGTCTTGTGTTAAATGTGCAAGATGGGCCATTTTGAGATTATTCTGGTTTGAGTAATCTTTGCAAGACCCATGGCACTAGATTTCACAGGAGTCTGGGAACTTCAATAATGACTGTTGCACAAGACATTAATGCTGTCTTTCAAGCATCTCTCTTCTGAAAGTCTGAGGTGTTGGGTACCTTGTACAAGTTATCTTCTCCTTTCTGTCATGGATATTTATAATTTATCTGCAAAATACCAACATCCATTCCAGCTTAGAATACATTTCAGTGATTTTGCAGCATTTGCAAGCATGATTAGAAACACATGTTAGCCCTATCATTTCTCTAACATGCAGAGGCTCTAGGGGCTCTTGGAATAACATGTTTCTTAGGAAACCTTCAAGTGGTTCACTTTCACAATGCTTATGAGTAGCTGTTGTTAATCAATAACTTCAGATTTATTCAGGTTATTAATCAGATTTATTCTGCATGAGGTGAAAAGCATCAGTGAAATGAGTATTCATTTAATCCATTTCAACAAGATTTTTTAAAAATTACTTGTGTCATGCTGACTACTGTATATGCCTTTTATAATGGATATTACGAATATAGTATAATTTTTTTTTAATAACTGGTAGATACAACAGGCACAAACAGTTTTACAAAGCTAAAATAATCTGGTTGTTGTCCTTAGATTAGTTTTCCAAATACTATTTTGACAGCTAAAGGGAAACTGAGTAGATAATGTTGTTCTCCACCGTAAGATGTTTGTCCTCTAAACTAAAGTATATAAAGATAGGTGAAGGAATGATCTGTCATAATGTAATGTCAGGGACAGAAGCATATCTACAGATAAAGTATAGGCAAGGTCTGTGATTACAAGTCAAGAAAGCCAAATGTGCTTGTTTCCGTGCGATCAAATAAAGAGTAAAATATTTAGAGGGAAGTGATACAGGAAAAATTATTATAATAGTCACTGTAATTTGCCATTGAGCTGGAGGATGTCTGGCCACAGGAGGTGGTTTGCTTCAGGACTGTAAATAACCTTCTAAGAAGATGGAAGGACAACCAATTCCTTGGCTCTAGCTCCATTCTGGGTCAAAGTCATCCCAGCTGGAAAACTGTTTACTTCCCAGCCCACGCAATGGCAAACAAGTCAGCAATCAAGTAGTGGCTCTAACAGAAGGTGATTCCTACCTATTTGCAATATCCTTTGCAAAAAGCTGTTACTCATTTTCAGCTGACTCTGCACAATCATGGTTCCAGGTCTAAGTGGGCACCTACTATCATTCCAGTCCTATCTCTAATTTTTGTTAACAATAGGCAAAGTATTCAGGGACTGGTAATTTGATATTCATTGGCATCATAGAGATGTGTAAGGAAATCAGTTGCTAACTCCATTCTAGGTATTCAGTGAATTCCTGGGATCACCCATTGATTTGATGGATGGACCACTCAGTGGATAAAGAACTGGCTGGATGGCTGCATGCGAAGAGTTGTGGTTGGTCAATGGCTCAATGTCCGGCTGGAGACCAGCAACGAGTGGTGTCCCTCAGGGATTGGTGTTGGGACCGGTCTTGTTCAACATCTTTGTCACTGACATGGACAGTGGGATTGAGTGTGCCCTCAGCAAGTTTACCGATGACACCAAGCTGTGTGGTTGGGTTGATACCCTGGAGGGAAGAAATGCCATCCAGAGGGACCTCGACACGCTTGTGAGGTGGGCTGATGCCAACCTCATGAAGTTTAACCATGCCAAGTGCAAGGTCCTACACCTGGGTCGGAGCAATCCCAGGCACAGCTACAGGCTGGGAAGAGAAGAGATTCAGAGCAGCCCTGTGGAGAAGGACTTGGGGGTGTTGGTTGATGAGAAACTGAATATAAGCTGGCTTCAGTGTGCGCTTGCAGCCCAGAAAGCCAACTGTATCCTGGGCCGCATCAAAAGGAGAGTGACCAGCAGGTCGAAGGAGGTGATCCTGCCCCTCTACTCTGCTTCTTGTGAGACCTCACCTGGAGTATTGTGTGCAGTTCTGGTGTCCTCAACATAAAAAGGACATGGAACTGTTGGAACAAGTCCAGAGGAGGGCCACGAGGATGATCAGGGGACTGGAGCACCTCCCGTATGAAGTCAGGCTGAGAAAGTTGGGGCTGTTCATCCTGGAGAAGAGAAGGCTGCGTGGAGACCTCATAGCAGCCTTCCAGTATGTGAAGGGGGGCTATAGGGATGCTGGGGGTGGACTCTTCATTAGGGACTGTAGTGACAGGACAAGGAGTAACAGGTTAAAACTTAAATGGGAAGTTTAGGTTGGATATAAGGAGGAAGTTCTTTCCTGTGAGGGTGGTGAGGCACTTGAATGGGTTGCCCAGGGAGGTTGTGAGTGCTCCATCCCTGGCAGTGTTCAAGGCCAGGTTGGACGAGGCCTTGGGTGACATGGTTTAGTGTAAGGTGTCCCTGCCCGTGGCAGGGGGGTTGGAACTTGATGATCTTAAGGTCCTTTCCAACCCTAACTATTCTATGATTCTATGATTCTATGATTCAGCTAACATAGCTTCTGAAGACCATTTAATTTACACATCACCTGTTATCACATATGTGGGAATGGCAGCCTTGAAAGCAGTATATATCTGTTTTATCACCACAGATTACACAATTTTTTACCATAGGCTCATGCTTTCCTGCTTCTTCACAACTGCTTCTTCCTCTCATGCAGTTGCCCCTTTCCCTTCTGCCTTTACAAAAATCTTGGAGAAAACAGTGTGCCGGGCATTAATAACAAATTCTGGGATCAGGGTAGCCCGGCGCTGACTCTCTCATGGCTCTCCAAATAAAGTTTGTAATGGGATCTATCTGGTGCTCATAGTTTTCACAGTAACCTCACTCCCTTTGACATGTGGTATGAAAATCCATGCAGTCTGTCTTATGTAGTCCTCAAAGCTACGTGTCTTCACATTGTATATGACCAGTTTTATCGGAATAGAACACTTAGCTCTGAACTGAACTAAGAAATAAATTGTACTAAGTGTAAAAAGCTTGTGGATGTAAAGGAGAAGACATAGTCTTGAGCACAAGTAAGTTTATTTCTGTGTAAACATTGTCCAACATGGCATAGATCTGCAGTGAGAAGCCAAGCAGTAACAAAAACTGGAACTCACAGGTACAGATGAATGGATCGTGGAGAAAGGGCATGAGTGAGGTGGCATGCAAATAGGACAACCATATCTGCATGAGGTTAAGAAATAAATAGGTTGAGACAGGAAATTTTTTTCTTTCTCACAGAAGAACTACTTAGTATTGTGAACTTAAGTGAACAGTATCTTTGCATCATACGGGATGCCAAAATAAATATTTAAGAGATGCTTATCTTTAATCTCATGCAGACAAGTGAAAGACAGATCTACTTTCCTTTTCTCAGGGCCTCTGACATCAAAGATGGTCTTTGCTACCATGACATTTTTTTCAGTGGATCTTAAAAAAAACCTATAAATCAAAGACTTATCAACAAAATATGTACTTCCTTTGGCATATTGACTTGGCTTCTGATTCTTGACCATAGGACTGGTTCTGGATGGTTTCTCCTGGATATTCAAGAAAGGGGCATTTACAGAATAGCCCACATATGAATGTCTTTAATGACCCTTAGTTCAGCTTAGAAAGAGGCTTTCCCCCCCTCTACAAGGCGTTTCCCTGTAGAGAGCCTATTGCTCTCTACAACTACCTGAAAGGAGGTTGTAGAAAGATGGGGATTGGTCTCCCAAGTAGCAAGTGACAGGACAAGAGGTAACGGCCTCCAGTTGCACCTGTTAAAGGTTTAGATTGGATATTAGGAAGAATTTATCCGCTGCAAGCGTTGTCGAGCATTGGAACAGGCTGCCCAGGGAAGTGGAATCACCATCCTTGGAAGTATTTAAAAGATGTATAGACGTGGCACTTAGGGACATGCTTTAGTGATGGACTTGGCAGTGCTGGTTTAAATGTCAAACTCAATGATCTTAAGGGTCTTTTCCAACCTAAATGATTCTGATTCTATGATCCCAGAAGATACTGTCATATTGCTGCTGTGATATTTTGCAGTGGTAAAATTGAGTTCCTAGCCTTATTTCCTATTTATATTAAGGACTTGCTCACTGGCCAAAATTACTGCCCTCAGGACAACTGAGGAATTGCCTAAGAGATGGGTAGATCAGACACATATGGGCTTTGTAGTACTAAATATGTGTAGCAGTTTGATCGTGGTGTTTGACAAAGGCCTGCACAGGTATGTAAGAGAATGCTTTCTGTGGCTTGTGGGTGATCCAGCTTGAGCCCAACTCATCTTTATTACAACAATATTGCACATGGAGACATTTTAAGCCTCAGTTTCACCTGTGCAGGCCAGCTGGTATATACCCAAGCTGAACCAGTTAAGCAACATGGAAAAAGGGTGACTCAGAGCCTGAATTCAAAGTCAAAACAGAATTATCATGAAATATCAATACAGACAGAAAATCAGAGAAGATATGGTGGTGTGGGTAACACTGTAGTTGTGACAGACACATTCTTTATAATCTTAAATTTATGCTTTAAATTACTATGTAAATAAGCATTTTTTCATCTGTGTATTTGATTTGGTTGTGGATTTGATTTGGTGTGTTACCAAAGACTGTACAAACTAAAAGCCTGCCAATTATAGTTAGAAAAAGTTGCAGCAGAATGAAAGTATTAGTTCTTAGGAGATTTCATAACTGTCTGTTTCTCTTCCATAGCTGTTTTCTGCTGGAAAAATCGAATGCACCAGAGTAGCAGAGCTGAAGGGAAAGTACACCCTGCTGCATAAGACTGTGATAAGGTATAATGTTCCTTTTTAGTCTTTAAGAAGCCAAAGCATTAAATATTTAAAGTAATTTTCTGCTCATCCTATGGCCTAATTATCATTGAAGGCTTCCTTATAGTGATTGTTCATAAAGAGGAAGCAAGAACACAACATTGAAAATAATATTATTTAATAGAAACTTTCAGGGTAATCTGGGATATTTAAATACTTGTTTGAACAATGTCTTTTTAAATATAATCATAATAATAATGGCAGAGGAAGGAAGCACAAACTGCAACAGACAATATACAAATTTAAAATAAATATATGTTTGCAGATCATATAGCTGGAATTGTAACATAGGACTTGCTGAGTTAACATCACAGAGAACCACTGAAGAAGCTAAAGGCTCCTTTCTAAGGAGGAAAATGAGACTGTCACATTTTTATAGGTGTGAATTTTACCCTTTGAGAATATTGACAGTCATGTTAGACAGACTGCTAATAAATTTAGAAGGTTAGAACATCAAGCTTCAAAGTATAAATGAAACTCCAAGTGTAGTAGTTGTGGGTCTGTGCTGCCCTGGTACTTGCTGGAAGAGAGAAATCTTGCTCATAGCCTAGTGCTAGGCTTGAGCAGAGCATGTGTGAATGAAAGGAAAGAGGCGGGGGGCCAAAGTGCAATGCAGTACTGCAGTTGTACTGGATGAACAGTCCTATTGCAAGCAGTACAATGCTGCGTCATTATTTGCGATTAATAATTGTGACATTACTTGAGGTATACACATAATTATCAGTAAAATCAGCATCATGAGACTCTTTATATTTCTGTAGTATGTACCATAATATCCACCATATAAACAATATTTTAGCCCAGTTTCCCTGACAGTCGACATCAAAACCTTTATGGCAACTCTGCTTATAAAACCATGGCTATTCTGTCATTGAAGCTAAAGCCAAGCTTAAGGATACTAAAACTAATTCAAGTTGCACCAGCTTACTTGGGTTATGCTGCAATTTGGTGTGCCTCCTGGCAATCTGAATAGCAACCAGTGCTAAATAATGTACAGTAATTTGAAAAGGGGCTCACAAAATCCTGAAAACACAGTTTTTCTTGGGTCTTCTAATTTCATCTTAATAAAATGGGGAGTTAGATTAGGCTCTGAGTCTGTATGAAGTCATCTGACATTATCCAGTTTACTGAATAGCAAATATTTTTGGGAAGCAGAATTAAAACCAGCACTACTAAATGCAAGAAACATTTTAATGCTCAGAACTAACCATATTACGAGGCTTTTGGATTAACTGAGAAGGTTTCTACCGTACTGGTGTTCACTGAACTGAAGTAGAAATCCAGTAGCTGCTGAACCTGATCGATTTTTAGCAGTGTTAATTTGAAACCAGCCTTTGGTTGGAAAGAATACAAGCATATTAGTACATATTTCATATTATATGTATATAATATTCTTTGAGAAGGCTGCATGGAGACCTCGCAGCAGCCTTCCAGCATCTGAAGGGGGCCTATAAGGATGCTGTGGAGGGACTCTTCATTAGGGACTGTAGTGATAGGACAAGGGGTAATGGGTTAAAACTTAAACAGGGGAAGTTTAGATTGGATATAACAAGGAAGCTCTTTACTGTGAGGGTGGTGAGGCACTGGAATGGGTTGCCCAAAGAAGTCATGAATGCTCCATCCCTGGCAGCGTTCAAGGCCAGGTTGAACAGAGCCTTGTATGACATGGTTTAGTGTGAGGTGTCCCTGCCCATGGCAGGGGGGTTGGAACTAGATGATCTTAAGGTCCTTTCCAACCCTAACTACTCTATGATTCTATGATATAAATATTCTTTTGTATAAAGACTATTTCTTTTCATGTATAATAAGTGGAATATGGGCTGAGTGAAAACAGGACTCATCTGTCTTTTCTGTCTTACATAAAACTACCATTAACACCATGCAGCAAAAGCATAAAAATGTTAGGTGGTGCATTACATCACTCATTTTTTCTACAAAAGTACATAATTGTCATACTTCTATAAGAAAGTCAATTGAAGAGAATCATGTCACATTCTTTACTTAGATCTAGTCATGCATCAAAGCAAAACACCAATGCATGAATGAGTACTAATTCCCACAGATAAATTTCTCTTTCTGCTAAAAGAAAGCAAGGGGAATCAATTACTAAAACCTGATCATGATCTCCAGTATATTTTAAGGACTTTTCAGACATCAAAACTGGGATTCACTTGTCCATATGTTAATATCAGTAAACATGCACATCTGAAGTAGGTATCTAGAGTCCTTTATTTCTTGGTTTCTGTTTTGCACAATTTGGTATTCCATAAAGCTGAGAGATAGCGCCTGGCAGATAACATCTTTGGTACATTTCTGCGAAGTGTTACATGCATTTGAATTCATGTTTGCTGCACAGCTGAAATTCTGGGAACAGGCTGTCATTCTGTTTTGGTGCTGTCTCACCCATCCACTTTGCAGTGAGGCTGCATCTATAGCTGCATATGAGCTGTATCTGAGCTCATATTTGGCCCCTGAAAACCCATTTAGTCACACAATCATGTGGCTCAGTTGTAAATTTTCATTTTTATTATCTCGATTAGGAACCCAGTATGAATACTCTGACACACCAAGGTGTAAGAAATGCAGGCAATAATGCTAGTTCATGGACAGTTTTGGAATCTTACCTTCTTATGCCTCTGTTAAATTATTAATCACAAATTCAAAAGCTGACACATCAGACTTGGCAAGCTTACTTTAGAACTCATATGATTCCAGATGTGTACATTAGATGCCCAGTTATGTCTTCATTGTCTTCAACTGTATTTAAATATTGTGTAGGATCTTGTGACAATAAGTAATTTCTTTCTCCCTTAAAAAGTTACTGTGTAAATACATCAGACATGAAGTTACTTGTTCGTGATAAAGACACACTCTTGTTTCCTGTTGAAGTCTGTGGTTTTCTTATTTTCTTGTTTAAAAAGGAAGTGGTTATCTAAATGGAAATGTTACAGAAAATGAAACTTTTTCTGTTGTATTATTTCAGCTATGTTTGTGCAGTGTAGTCAATTGTGTATTTTGTTTTTATCGTTACCATCTCAACTCTATCATTCGGTGTCATATGTATTTTTTCTTTCGTTGCTAAGCCATAAATGTAATCTTTGAGCTAAAATTTGTGTATACCTTTTTCAGTATGGAAGATTCTAAATTTGTTTGTTTTCAAAAATATTAAATTGCATTATATTTTCAGTTACTAAAAGGCAAGGGATAATGTTCTTTATTCTTCCACATCATTTCTGACTGATTTTAGTATACCGTTATACAAGAGTTATAATTTCATAATATTGAGAAGATGTACACAATTATTTCTTTAGCATCTGTTTATGTTATATATGTTTGTATGTTTTAGCATTTCTAAGGTTTATATGTTGTGTGTTGCATATGAATTTTCATACTGTAATTCCCTTTAATACCTTTCCATAATAATCAATGCTAACAGCCTTTCAGATCTGTTACTCATCTATCATGCATAGGTTCCTAAGTATATTATGAATACCAGTCTCCTAACATAGACGGAATATTACAGTTTGTTGTTTCTGTGAACCTAGACCTCAGTGATACAAGTCAGATCATGTCTACAAGCTTTATAGTAAGCTTCCACCAAGTCCACAAATGTATTTGCTGCTTCTGTATCATTAAATAAGTTATTTCATATATTGTTAACACTACAGCAATAGCAACATGCAATTCACCACAGGGTAGGTGTCCTGGTATTTACTAAGAACTTAAAGGTGTCACAGACCCCAGACTGGGCCTTGTCCTGGTGAATACTTCCCTGTTATTGGTCCCCACGCTGATTCAGATCTAGCCTTTGGCACTTCTTCAAATAAAATGGATTCTCTGTCCCTTCACTGGTTCTAGGAGGTGCTAGGCAAATAGATTAAACTAACTAACTGTCTTTTATCTGGTTAAAATTAGACGAGATGAATCCTACTCCAGCTCTAGGTATGCAGAACCCCACCTCACATGAGATTCCACTGCTCTCACAGCATCACAGGACAATCCACATTTGGATAAACCTCAGGAGGTCTGTGATCCAATTTCCTGTTCAAGGCAGGGTCCACTAGGAGGTCAGACCAGACTATTCAGGATTTAATCCCATCTCATCTTGAAAACCTTTAATTTAATATTGTAGGTAGGTAAAGAAGTATAAATACAAAGCTGATGCTTCTCATTGCCTAGTTCTAAATTTTTTTCTATTTAATGTAGTTTACAGGAATCTGAGATCCAGCTGTTGCAAGAAGCCAAACGTCTTAGTGTAGAACTGGAACAACAACAACATGAACTGGAAAAAGCAGAACAGTTCCCTGAAGAATCCTCCAGTGAAATTTTACAAATAAGGAAACAATTTCTTAGTTGCCAAAATGAATACAGTGCTATTAAAGAAAGAGAATCTGACATTCAGTACAAGATAAAATGGTAGGTGATAGTAGTCAAACGTTGCTGTTTTTATCATGGGTCACCTAGAAAGACACTAACATAGAATATAGTTCAATCTCCTCCTCATCTTATATGAACACATTTCTTGATGGCTGTTGTTAAATAAAGTGCTACAAACTTTTCCTAGAAACAGCAACATTTCTAGTGATGAATAAAACTACCCTGGTGTGAGATTTGTAGATCATTTTCATTTTAGAACATGCCATGGTATCCTTTGAAATGCTGCTTAAAATTTACTACATTGCATGTTTAATGTTTATTTAGGCAAAATTAACAGGAACAGTTCTAGTCTAGGACACCTTTTATACAGATGATTAAACAGTCTCAGAGACCTGGTGACTGGGATTTTATGGAAACAATGGCATAAATAGACTCAATGCTATTTTTAACATCAGAATGAGTATTCAAGTTCTATTCAGGTACTTAAAGGAGGAGAAGTACTTGTATAGTCTCATGTTAGAAAAATGAATAATTTGCTGTGAAAGAAGTGAATACTTGACATTTCTATAAAAAGAAAAAAGTCCAGTATAAGCTTGATATTGTATGTATTTTAAATATCTGCATACATGAGCGTATTGCACTTGATGCTTTTATAGTAAAATTACAAACAGTACTATTGCATTTATAAAAATACAGAGATGAACTCATATTTTCATTTTGTGGGGTGCTTGCTGTTATTATCTATCTTCAGTCCAGCTGTAGTGCAATTGGCATATAGAAATACAAATAAATGATGTCAGCAGCTCAGCAGTTAAAGCTGTATTTCTGCAAGGAGAGCAGGGGCACTGTACTGACTGCAGAGAGCAGATTTTCTTCTGGCAGTCTTTCTTTGATTTTGTTTTTTTTTAGAGCCAAGTGTTTGCTCTAAGAGGGAAAGAAACTTGAGAAAGCAGCAAATTGGGAGTAGGAGAAATAAAGAAACATGGAAAGCATCTGGAAAAAATTATTTGTTATGAGATAACTAAGCAACATAGTTTCCTGAAATAATTATTAAACACAGAATTTATTGCAATTTCCAAGCAGTCCAGAAATGAGCTCTTCAAAATATCATGGTTTTTACCCATTTGTGCTCATATCTCATGAATGTTTTTCATTGAATTTGCATCACTTTTCCAAAAAATGAAGGGGGTGTATATGTTTATATGGTTATTTATATGTTTATATGGTTACTTATATGTTTATATGATTATTTACTTATACTGTATTTTCTGCCTCAGGACAAAAAGATTTCTGTCTTACATATCACACAGTTTAGGCATTGTTTCAATTACCCTTGCACATTTCCTGAATTAGTTTTTATATATGAATTAAATATACTATCTTGCAGACTAAAAAGACACTGTTTTGGGTCAGTCAGGCTGTGAAAAATTTTCTTTCATTTTAATAAGAAACTTCCTCTGTTTGGTCTTATGTATTGCATGAGATCAAACCAGCTGTACAGTCTGACCAGAGGTCCATATGGCACAGTATCTAACAGCGACCAAAAGTGCAGCCCACAGACATTTGTAATTCAGGGATTTTATGAGCCAAATGTAGTTTTCTGCATTTAGGAGTCCTCAGTTGACCCCTCTTCCTTGTACTTCTTCTGTTTCCTCCTTTGTATATAGACTTCTGGCGTTGCAACACACTGGGCAATGAGTTCCATAGATTAGCTACACAAGAACTGCCACTGCCTTCATTTTTTGAACCTGACTCCTATCAGCTCCTATCAATCAGCTTCATTTTATACCCTATAGTTCTTGTGCTGGATGAGACAATGGTTTTCACTGTCACTGCTGCAGGATAGTTTGATTGATATCTTCTGTACTCCCCTCCCCTTAATTTGTCAACTTTCTAAACTGAAGAACTACGGATTATTTAATTGCTCCTTGCTTGGAATCTGTTTCATGCCAGGTGGCCCCACTGGGGTTTATGCATATTGTGGGTGTGCAGTGAGGAGGATGTGCCTTGGTTATGTGTGGACAATTTGTTTAGTGTGAGAGAAGATAGTGCTTTCCAGAAATGAGAGGGTTTAATGCTGAAGTAGTGTGGAATGAACAGGACTGTGGAGAACAGATGAGTGAATGTAGTGGGGAACTAGAAATGAGATCTGAAGAAAACAGATAATGGATGTGAATACATGTTTATAAAGAGGGGATGGTTTTGGTGCCTGTGAAGGACAGTCAAAATGAATGTCCAGAATGGACTTGTGAAGTACAGTTCGTCTAATAGTAACACTGATGTAAAATGAAGATCTATATGCCAGATAGTTTTATGCAAATAATACAACAACGGCCTCTAAAAACATCTGTGAGCATGGGTGGTGTCACAGACAGAGGGGAAGCTAAATCAAAGATATTATAAGTAAATCTGCTGTTATGTAAGTGCTTGGTTTCCTTCATTTCTCAAAAGGTTAGAAACTCATGCTCCAACCTTTTTTGGCCCTTAATCTCTCTGGAGCACAGTTACCGTTGTTGTCCAACTGTGTTAATATGGCCCCAGCTGTGCCTGGCACTTACAAGTAAACTTCTCTTTGGGAATTATGACTAATGGCTGTTTAGTCTCAAAACAAACATTGCTTATTTACCTTTTCATGTATGGTAGGTGGGGATTATGGAAGGGAAAAGCTTTTGAAGGGAATTTCTGTGTCATTTATTGCTTTATCCATTTCTTAGAAGTCTTGGATCTTGTCTACACAGAAATACTGCTGAGCTGGGAGAGAAAGCAAGCTTGGGCAGATCTTCTGCTTCCGTTTCTGTAAGCCTTTCTCTCTCTGAAGCATCTTTCTAGTCTCTGCTGCCTTTACTTCCTGCTTTTGCTTAGTAACCTTTTTGCACTCAGATTCAAATCTGACAACAATAAACTTTTTTCTTGAAGAGTCATACAGATATACCATGACATTAGCAAAGTTATTTTTTGTCTTGAGGTTCTTTAGTATTCTATAGTCTCTTTTCTGTATTTCATTTCCTGTTTTCTTGCCTCTGTAAACAATTTTTTCCAGATCAGATAACTTCGACAGGTGAATGTGATATTTCATCTTCTGGTTTAACTCTTTATTTAAGCACTGTAGTATCAGCAGATTTTCAGGTATTCTGTGACTTTTTTCATAGCTTGAATAGGTGCACAAGGTATTCAGAACCAGCTCTGATGCCCTTCAGCTGTCAGGGAAGTCACGCCGGGGGTGTCTGCACAGCTGTGGTGTGCCTCCTCTTCCAGTTCATGTTTCTGCTCTGCTGCACTGGGTTCGTTGCTAGTGTGTGCGTGAGTGTTCAGCATGGAAGGGGAGCAGCAGTTGGAAGGATTTTACTGCGATTATAAAATCTAGGCTCCTACCCCAAAGTCAGAGCTGAATCCAGGAGTATTCTTCCTCTCTAAAACTGTGAGGCAAGTGTAATAAAGTAAAAGAAAAACAGTGATCCCAGTTCAGTTCTGGTACAGCTGCATTCAGAGCCGTGAAGTTTCTCCATATAACTGGGACTGAACAAGCATTCATAAAGAGGAATATAGACCAAAAAATCAGATTAGTGCTAGGAAAAGTTCAGTGTGATCACAAGGATTTGTTCTAGCTTGAGGAAACTTTTCATTTTATTGCCCATGTTAGGCTTAGAGTCCTGGTTTGTGAGACCAAATAAAGAGCTGGTTTTTTTTATAAGGCAGTAGTAACAACAATTTATTATTGAGAAATAATAAATATATCATCTAAATTTATCATCTAAACCATATACCTAAAAGTAAGCAATTAATTTGTAATGAAATTATCTATAACAAGAGATTGTGAGATTAAAGGTGCCTAATCCTTGGAAAGAATTTTACTTTAAAGTCTGAGTCCAGTCTACAGCCCTCACAGTCATTTGTGCAGGTAGCAAAACAGCTATTTGCTGAAGTAGCATGTGCTATTGCATGCAAGTCACAATTGCAAAACTGAGTTTGTCCTTGTAGAAACATTGCAAATATGGAAAATTATTTCAATGCTTGTAATTATTTCAGGGTTAGTCACCTAATAAATAAAAAGTGAAATGTTAGGGTCTTGTCCATAGTTTTTCTAGTGAAGAATTACAAGTCATATGTAAAATGAATAGAGTTGAGTTGAAGCTGTTATAAACTAGTCTTATGACTGCATTTTCCAGTACATGCAAACTAATTACAGCTGAAAGCTTTGCAGAAATCTCATGCTGGCATCTTATTGGCTGTCACATCTTCTACTTGTGGTCACTAGCATTTTAGTTGTGAGGTGCTGAGCACCTTCTATGGGCTCCTCAGCTAATCCCAGTTATGTGTCAGAGTATCTGAAGGAGTCTGCTTTCTTGCATTATGGGGTTTGTAATGATAACAAGGTCCTGGCTATTTGTGAGCTAAGGAACTGAAATGAACCTCTGCTGACAACTACCGCTACATTTCTTAATCTCTCTGACTTTTTTATTTCTGTGTCAGTTTGCAGCTGTAGACATCTCTCAGGGAAAAGGCTGGAATGTATTTTTATTAATGATCCAATTTTCTGAGCGTTTTTTTTTAACTCATTATATCTGCATCCATGATAGCTTTACAGGTACAGGACTGCTATTAAGCTTCATGAAAATAAGTAAAGCAACGTGGGAAACATTTGTGAACATTAATGCTTAAACTTAAGGATTTCATCTTTTTTTCACTATGTATGTTGATACAGGGATAATAATAATAATATTAAAACCCACATGGTGTTGAAATATACACTTATCAACGAAGGGCTATAAACCAATGGGAATTATAAATGCCTAATGCTGCTTGCAGCTATTTGGTTTGTTCTTGTGATCAATGTCTATTTTATAGGCAGTCAGGAGGCTGATGTTCATGTATCACAGATTTCAAGATTCAGATGCTAAATGAAAAGACCAGATTTTCTCTGCTTACATTAAGCTTCTGTGTTTATACAGCTATTAAATCAGAAATTGAACTTAAATCTGTGAAGAATCGTATTTGATTTCTTAATCTGAGTTAATCATCCTGGTCTCCCTTTAGAGTCAACAGAGAGAAATACGTTATCTTCAGCCTTTCATTTATCTCATCCTAAAATAGGCAAGTGGGATGTCAGATGACCTGCCCTTTGGAGGTTCTTGCTTTCATCCCTGACAATAAGGAAGCCTAGGGATAACAGCACAAGGGCACCTATCTAATTGTTGAATGTGGGCAGCTGGACCAAACTCATTGCTCAAAAGGGAGAGATTTAACTTCTTTCTTTTACCACCATTTCTTTTCAACTTTTCACTGCTTTTTGCATGGAAGTAGTTGGTCTGCCTAAGGCAACTTGGTTACTTGGTGCTTGTTGTCAGTGTTGCCTTTGTTTAGATCACAGAAAATGAGGTGTTCAAATCATTTTACTTTTGCTGCATGGAAAAGCCTTTGTTGAGAAACTGGAATGGCTCCACAAGAATCTGCCCTCATGAGTGAGGAATTTGACAAAAAAAAACAAACATGTCAACTTTGCTCTCCCTTCTGGTTTTCGGGATTCTCTTTTGATCATCTGGCATGATATTAAAGATGGCACAGCATGGACTGATGACAGGCAAGGCAGTATCTCTTTAATCAGTTTGCACAAGACTTACTTAATTTTTTGTGGCAGTCAGTTATGGGTATTTGTGCAAAGTGGAAATTCTTTATAATTAGTGTGATTATGCCATTCCCAAGGACCTCAACTAGGAGTCCTGCCAGAATGTGTTGGGAATATGAATTATCCTTATTAATATATTTATACATTTAGACAACCTGTTGGTAAGGTGCAAGCATTGTGTTTGACCCACATGGCATTCCAATACAACATACTCAGTTGCAGCTTATGGATGTGGTACATGGGAGCAGACCAAAGCTGCCATCACAGAATTGAAGTAGCTCAGTCTTAAATGCAGTTTGATCCCTCTTATTGACTTTAAACAGTGGAACATGAAACTAGTAGCTCCTGAGCCACACTGCAGCAAAGAAGAAATCGCCTTATAGTGTTTCCTTAATTCACATGCACTTGCATTGTGTACCTCCGAAAATACCCATGTCTTTCTTCACTTTTCTGTGCAATTTCTTAAGTTATAATAGATTTTGCCATAGAATTTTTTCTTTTGTAAATAATTTTATCATTTTGGGGGGAAGACTGATCTAAATTCAACTTTTTTCTTTGAAAGATTTTTTTTGCAAACTCATTCACTCCATCAGTGTTCAGACACTCACATTCAAATTAGTTTTAGACTTAGCAGTCCCTGTAAGAGGCGTATTTGTACTCTGCACATACAAATATGCGTATGTGCAATAAATCAACAACATCTACTCTATGCCTTTATTTTCTCTTTTCTCTTCATCTCAGCCAGAGCTTATTCTTCATTATCTTTTTATTTATTATTATCTTTTTTTATTACAACACCACCAACCCAATTCTCTTTTTGACTGTTGTCTTTCCTTGATTGTAAAGATGTTGCCTGAGGCTTCCAGGTATGAGCTTTGCTTCTTTTGTTAGAGGACCAAAATAAAAGAAAAATTTTAGGGGGTAGTGGGTTTGCACCTTGTGTCAACACTGATAAAGAACCGAGCACAAGATCCTAGTGATGATCCTCCATGGGGCTGGCTGCTAGGAGACTTATCTCTCTCCCATGACCACCTTGTGGTACCTGAACCACCACCATGCAAAGTCTTAGGCTGATGCTGAAAGGTTTCAGAGAAAAAAAGAAATACCAATCAGCTGCCTCTCTTCAGTGTCAGCCACATTCAGAAGCAACTGTAGTAGTTGCTTTGCGTACATATGTTGGCTTGTGGGGCTGCCTAGGACTCCTTGCATTGTTTGTAGCCCCAAGTGACACAGCTATTCCATGAAAGCCTGGTCCCTTCTCTTAATACTCCCCTTAATTAGTTATTTATTCTAACAGACTCTCCCGGGTCTCCAGGAGGCCTGACCAGCACATACACCAGCTGTAATTTCAAACACAAATCTAAGTGCCAAAGTTGATTCCTTGCCATGTCAGGACAGAGGATTTGGTGGTTCCACCTATTCCCCAGCTGCAATCTTTATAGCCTGAGACTCAGAAATATCAGCAGAGGTTCTAATTACATTGCGAGAACCTTCCTCCTTGTTCCAACTCAATAGCACAATGACCTAATTAAGCTCAGTTTTGTTCCGATGGCATGCAGATTGCTGTAGCCCATTTATCTCCTGGAGGTGCAGAATTGTTCTGTACATGCACTGAGGATCTATCAGTGTGTTTCTTCACTAGGGCTAATGCCACCAAGAAGCTCCTATTGTACGTCCAACAAGCTTGCTGGTTCAGCTCCACTTTTGTAGTCACTCCTTCATCTTTCTCAGAGCAGCATCACTAAAAACACACCCACAATATCTAAGACCCTTCCTGTCTTTTCCTTTCCTCCTTCCCTCCTTCGGCATAAGTCTCTGTTGTTCCCTGAATTTAATTTGCAACATAGTTTTGAGTATAGGTTAAGATCACCATGGCTATTCAGTTTAGTTTTCTACTGTACCCCACTGAGCTAGTCTACAACTCCTGTCTCTTCAGGATGTTTTTTCACAGGACCCTGTTGAGGTTTGAGGAGCTTCAGTTACAGTTGTTCATAGTGTGAAGGTGTGCATGAGCAATCACTCAAAGGAAGAAGAAAGTTTCTCACTAGCAACTTCACTTTCTTTGGTGTGTGCTGGTTTTGTTGGTATTTATAACCCACCTCCTCTTTTCTTTTGCCTCACTTAGAATCACAGAATCATAGAATAGTTAGGGTTGGAAAGGACCTTAAGATCATCAAGTTCCAACCCCCCTGCCATGGGCAGGGACACCTCACACTAAACCATCTCACCCAAGGCTTCGTCCAGCCTGGCCTTGAACACTGCCAGGGATGGAGCGTTCACAACCTCCCTGGGCAACCCATTCCAGTGCCTCACCACCCTCACAGGAAAGAATTTTCTCCTTATATCCAATCTAAACTTCCCCTGTTTAAGTTTGAACCCATTACCCCTTGTCCTGTCACTACAGTCCCTAATGAAGAGTCCCTCTCCAGCATCCCTATAGCCCCCTTCAGATACTGGAAGGCTGCTATGAGGTCTCCATGCAGCCCTCTCATCTCCAGGCTGAACAGCCCCAACTTTCTCAGCCTGTCTTCATACGGGAGGTGCTCCAGTCCCCTGATCATCCTCGTGGCCTCATCTGGACTTGTTCCAACAGTTCCATGTCCTTTTTATGTTGAGGACACCAGAACTGCACACAATACTCCAGGTGAGGTCTCACGAGAGCAGAGCAGAGGGGCAGGATCACCTCCTTTGACCTGCCGGTCACGCTCCTCTTGATGCAGCCCAGGATACGGTTGGCTTTCTGGGCTGCAAGTGCACACTGAAGCCGGCTCATGTTCATTTTCTCATTGACCAAACTTCCACGTTTACATTTTGTTTTCTGAGGTTGGGAAAAACTGTGAGTGTAGCACTATAGTGTAAAGACAAGGGTGAATGAGGCATAAATGCACCCCTGCAGGAGGTGGTGAGACTAAGAATAATCAGGTTCAAATTTTAGATGTGTGCACTGTAGAAAAAGCCTGCATATGAACAACCTGTCTTTCAGGACTTCCAGCTACCAGTCAGCAACCTTCCTTTAAATCTGGAAACTTTTCAATTGTCCCTGACGGTAATTCACCATACATTTTGGTCTAACATGAGATAGGCTTCCATACTTTTTTACCATGTACTATACTATAGTAATATTTATTATATTACTAATATATTTAGTTTTGTTTTAATTTTCCTGTAGTTTGCAAGAAGAAAAGAGTCTTTTGGAAAGCGAATATGCAAGAATTCCAAAAGACAGGGTAAGTACAAAACATGAGCAAAGCCATGGTTTATGTTCTGTCAGCAACTATATGAAAACATGAATGAAAATGTTTGCACAGTGAGTAGCTCCAGAGTTAATTTAAAATCTGGAATACATAGAGAAAACATGAGGTAGACATTATAGGAGAGCCTATATCACATCATTCAGGTTTGATAACTCTAGGGCAAGTGATGAATAACTGATTCAGAAAAGATCTGGATCTTCTTAAGTTTACTCAAGAACATTTTTTACTATATTCATCAAATGGATACTGCATGTAAAGGTAGGTACCGGTTTATGGTTCTGGGATTGCAGTATGGAAAATGCATTTGCTGTCACAAATTCTGATGAATAAATACGGTTTTGTTGGAGATAAAATTCTGCTGGTTATTGATAGAAGCAGCACACATCTTGTTAAAAGATTATATTTCATACCTTGTAAAAACTCTTATCACCATTCAATGTTAATGAACCTGTAACACCACAAGCTTGTAAAATTTAATGGTGAAAATAATGTTAATCTTGTCTTCATTTTTAAAGGGAACAGATAAGAAAATTGAACAGTTGAAAGAAAATTGTGATGAGCTCTGCAAAGAAGTAAACCAAAGGAAAGCGGAAATTAATGCAATAAAGGAAGATGTTTCATCCAAGAAAAAGCTGGTGTTGATAGATAAGAAAGAAATGGAAAAGCTTCTAGAGAAGCAGGCTAATTTAAAAGTAACACAAAATTAATTGTGTGTCTGTGTGTATGTATGTGTTTATGGGCACATGCTTTGTCCAAGGAAACAGTGAATCTTCTGGATGTTGTTTTGTCATTCCAAATTCATTAGATGGCATTACATAATATATTACATCATTTTTCAATAAGCGTGAAACATGCTGCTGTCCCATATCCATTATTATTCCTTTAGGAAATAATAGTCATGGTTTTGATTAAAAAATGGCATGTTTGCTATGTTGTGTTACTGTAGGCTGCTCGAACATATGCCCAGATCCAAGTTAATACAGATTTATGCCAACAACTAAAAAACATACCCCTGTCTTTGCCACTTTACATGGTACAGGTAACATAATCAGATGTATTAATAATATTCAAGCATAATTTTTATCTTGCAGACATAATGAAATCGTAACTATTAATGTTTAATTTCAGAAGTAGCAGCTATATTTCCCTGGGACAAACTCAAGTAATTCAAAATATATTTCCTGTTCATTTTTACCGCATTTGTAGGTGAATATTACTTCTATGAAATGCCATCAGATTTTAAGGCTATTAATGTAACTTTTCTGTTTTGTCACTAGGATGAGCTAGTAAGGATCCTTGGTGTTCCAGTAAAACTTGGAAAAGAAGCTGAGAAAATAAATTGGACAAAAAAGTATGCTTCTATAAATAATTATATATAGATAAATACATATGTGTGGCTTCTTTTCATCTGTTTGTTACTGAGATGACTGAGTATAGCTGTTGATTAAAATTAGGATCAACATTTTAAAAAGCATCTATAATTCACTTAAAATCCATGTGCTGCACTGAAAAACACAGTATATGAAGTGAAACATTGACATTTAAATATGCATGTGGAAATGTTAACCCCTACTGTTTTGTTGAAATATATCCACAGCAATGAAGAGAAGAAGAAAAAAGCCCTTGATGACCAAATAGGAGAGGTAAATGGTACCCTGAAAGCCATTGAAAACAAGACTGAAGAGATTTTGCAAGAAAGAGAAGCTATAATGAAGGAATTGGATGAGAAAAATATTTTGCTAGAAAGCAAAGAACGAGAATGCAGTACTTTGGCAAAATTACTAGAAATTAACAGAGAGAAAGGATTGGTGATCATAGCAGAGAGGTTAGACACAAGCCATGTAGCATGTGTGAACAATTCTGTGTTCTCAAAGATCTCTCTTTTTTCTGCTGTATTGCTTATGTTTTCAAGTCTTGTGCTGCAAGTGGTGTGGAATTGAAATTATCAGGCTTGGTTTTGACTTCAGAAATGTTTATATAAACTACTGCAATCTAGGATCTGGCTTGAAGAACATCAGAAAACATAACCACTTGATAAAATGCAGGGAGAGGCAACTGGATTTTGCTCTGAAAGGGACATTTTTAAGAGGGTTTCTCTTTCCAGTGAAAAGATATTTTTTTTTCTGTGTAACCCACAGAAAGTAAATTGAACAAGAAAAAGAATATGTCAGTATTTTCATTTTTCAAATGAGGATCATAGATTTCTGCAGCCGCTCCTGAGTTTCAGTGGGGACCAGTTACTCATCTCTTTAATATTGCCTTGATTTGTGAGCTTATATAACTTCTTAAAGTAAAATAAACTGTTGAGTTGATTGAAGGCTTCAAAAGATTCCTTCTTTGAAGAGGAAGATGTATAGTTATAATCATGGCCATATGCTCAGCAGCAATACTTTTGAATTTAAAGTTTTGTATTAAAGGATAGTGACGCTTTAAATTGAAATGTTTAAGTGAAGCATGCATATAAATATTTCCTCATACTAAAAAATTGTGTTTTCTTTTTATAAGTAAAAGTTTCTCTGGAATTTGTAGCATATTTAGAACAGACTGTGAGACCTCACTGACATCATTAGGAATACTATCATTGGTTAAAGTTATAAAAATGCCATCTTTTTAGGCAATTTGTGCCAGTAGTTTATGAGTTTATCTTGCTATTCAGCCATAAGGATGCAGTTCTCAAAACCCCTTAAAATGATCATGTCTGTTTCCATTCGTGTCTTGCTCAAGTTACCTGTTTCCAAAATTCTGTGTCTATCTCTACAGAGAAGCTCTGGAAAAGGCTTTGAATAAACGTGACTTGGAGAAAAAAGAGCAAGATGATATTCTCATTCACAAGCAAGCACAGAAGGACAGAGAGCTGAAAACCTTAAAAAAGATGGAGTTACAATTGAATACGATTTTTGGTGCCTTGGAACAAGATAAGTTACAGCATAAAAGACTCAAATTAGAGGTCTGTATGAATGCATTGACCGTAAGAATTCTAAATTTTCTTTTAAGAAATCTGCCAATTAAATCTTTTGACTGGTCCCAAAAGGGGGAAGAGGAGAAGACTGGAGTCTTACACACATAAAAGTGTCAAGAGTGTAGCTACAACTAAGAAAGAAATGCCTAGGTCCTTTAGCTGTGATAAAAATAGTGCATCAAGATACATATGGATTATTCTTAAGAAGTGGAATTTGGGTGGGAGCATCCTTTGAAGAAGAACAGGGAGATAATATGGGCACTGTGGTGTCATGTCTGCCTTTAAAGCATGGTGGAACTGTGGTCATTAATGATCAAAGTAATATAGTGACTTGCCCAATGACATCGAAGAAATTTGTATCAAAGAGCCAAGTACTCCCTGATTTCCAGATAATGAAAAGATGAATCATAGAATCATAGAATCATAGAAGAGTTAGGGTTGGAAAGGACCTTAAGATCATCTACTTCCAACCCCCCTACCATGGGGCAGGGACACCTCACACTAAACCATGTCACCCAAGGCTCTGTCCAGCCTGGCCTTTAACACTGCCAGGGACGGAGCATTCACAGCTTTCCTGGGCAACCCATTCCAGTGCCTCACCACCCTCACAGGAAAGAACTTCCTCCTGATACCTAACCTGAACTTCCCCTGTTGGAGTTTGAACCCGTTACCCCTTGTCCTGTCACTACAGTCCCTAATGAAGAGTCCCTCCCCAGCATCCCTATAGGCCCCCTTCAGATACTGGAAGGCTGCTATGAGGTCTCCATGCAGCCTTCTCTTCTCCAGGCTGAACAGCCCCAACTTTCTCAGCCTGTCTTCATACGGGAGGTGCTCCAGTCCCCTGATCATCCTCGTGGCCTCCTCTGGACTTGTTCCAAATGTTTTAAAGTTTTTTATCTTTTTAAAATTCAAAGGCCATATGTACATTACTGCAAATGATTTCTAATGTATTTAACATTAGTCCAGGAAACAGGAGACTAACACTATATAAATTTGCTATTAAAAAACATGAAATAAATCCCCATGTTCTCCTTGTTTACATTCAAATTTCATCTCCAGCTTCTCCCTGCATTACTATTTCACCCATTCCTCTTTCCATACTGATTTACTCTTTTCAGTTTTATTTTTGTCTTCTATTATGCTGATTTTAAAGGGCAGTCTCATTCTACCTGTCTGTTCAAAACATTTCCTTTCTTTTGTCTGTAAAAGTCTTTCTTAAATTTTTTTTCTATCCTTTTGGTATTCTCTTCCTCTTGTTACTGGTTCTTCCATTACCTTTCTTAAGCTTTTCATCTAAACTAGCCCCTTGTTTAGTCTAAATTGTAAGTCAGTCTTATAAAATTAATCTTGCTTAGTCAAGTGAATAATTTTTCACCAGACTTGGTGTTTCCTACCTTGACAAAGCATCCTTGGAATTTTTCTTAGTCCTCCTCAGCAATTGAGGGCAGAAAAAAAAGTCTTATTTACATCAGTGTGAAGTTTTTAGCAATAGCTATATGATATCAAAACTCATCCACACTTAGCTTTGCTGTTTAAAAAACTCTAATCATTACTCAGTGGTAGTGGTTTTAAATATTAATATTTTTTTATCTCCTCTGAAATTCCTCCTGAATTTCCATGTATTAATTGCCAGTAATACAAGCCCACTTAGGAGGAGGGAGGGAAGCTCTGTAACTATACAAAAAGTTTTAGATAGAATTTCCTCAAATACTGATTAAAGGGCTGAGTCATTCCAGACTTCAATCTTAAAGCTCATACTGAGTTTCTGTTCAGCATGAGCTAAGAAAATTCAGGCAATGTTATTTATTCCTACTGAGGAAATATTCATGGAGGGAGAACCAGATTGTTCAAAGACATGTAATGCTAAACTCAAATGCCATAATTCACTGGTAGCTGTAGTTAGAATTCACAGTCCTGGGTGAGATCCAGACCTAACTCAACCCTTTTACACTGTGAAATGGTGAGACCTGTAACAAGACACTCAAAGGTTAAGTTGCATTGCAAAGGATTCCCTCAGTACTGATGCTAGGTTATCCTACAGGCTTGTATGTGTCTTGCAGGTAGTATCATGAAGAGTGGTAGAAAGGGAATGCCAGTAGAGGAAAAAGTGGAATTCTAAGCAGAATTTTACTCCAGAATTTGCAGGATGCTACCCTAACACAAACAGGCCATGGCAATATAGTTGTTTTAGCCCATGCTCCGTGTTTCCTCTGATTCCTTTCGCGGCTCTTTTAGAATAGCAAATGTGAAACCACCACTGCTCTGCATAGTCAGTTCAAATGAGTATGAAAGACTAGAGAGGCAAGTTTGATTCTGCTTTGTTTTGCCATCTTGAGACTGTTCAAATTTGGACGACTTTTAAGTAGTTCAAGTTCCTTTAACCACTTACATTTTGTATTTATTCGTTAGGATTCCAAGTTTCACAAGAACGATTGCTAGTATAAAAACGTGATTGCAGAAGCAGCAGCACGTCAGTGTGCTTCCCCAAATTTCTCTTACTTTAAATCACGTGCTAAGTGCAGAATGACTGGTTTGTTGAATAAGGAAATTACAGGAACACTTTCTTCAAATGTGTTTTTCTTCTTAATAAGTTGTGAAAGGTCAGCTATTGCTAAATGCCAACATTCTGTGTGAAAGAGAACTGGCTGCTCTGACTGTTGCCAGCCCAGGGCAGAACTGCTGTTCGTCTCCATGCATGCCTTCTCTTTGGTCAGGCCAGCACAGAGACAGCCAAAAATGCCTCAGTTTAGTCATGTCTTATGTGAACAAAAGCCCTTAATGGATTAAAGATGTTTACACGAGCTTTCTACTTTTAGAATTAAGAACTTGATGGTATCTTTAGAATCCCATCTTTAAAATGTAGAAATGCTTACTTAGAGACACTACAGCCTTTTTACACAGCAGCTGTAATTAATATCTATATTCCACAGAAAAGCCATGTTTGCTGTCTTGACAAGAGTGAAAGTAACTTGCTTAGAGTAAGTTTTACTGACATTTTAGCAAACCTAAGGCAAATCAAATCTCAGACTTGGCAGCTGAAACTAAAATAACTCCACAGATAGATCTTTACTGTGCCTCTTGTTTTGCTTTCCCTTAATGCAAGAGAGCATCTAATTTTATAATATTATCACAGAAGGGAAAACTACAACTGCAAAACATCTCATTATCTATATTGAGGTATAGTGTTTTATACTCTAACATCGGGTTAAGATCTGAGAGATACAACATTGCATATATTATCTTTGAATAGCTTCCAGATGTGTTGTTGAGTGTCATTTATTCCCACTTATGTGAATTGCAGGTTTTTAATTACAGACAGGCAACATATGCCTGCATAGTTAATCTGCTATATCTCTTACTTGTAACTGTAAAGAACGTTGAATTTTGAAGTTAATGACTGTGGGGCCAATGCAACTTTTGCCTTACAAGTTACATCGTGCAAGTATTTGTAATGGGATTATTCATAGATATTTTAGTCAGAAGGTAGTTTTTAATGTGTCTTCCTTCACCACTTCTGATCGAATAAACAAATTTTTCTATAAAGTGCAAGAAAAAAATGTACAAAACTGTTTGTTTTGTTAGTTTTGACTTCCTAGAGCCTAACGAGGAAACAGGAAAATCCTACTCAATGAAAAGCAAAAAATATGAGAACAAATCTACACAGATGTGAAATATTGATTGTTTTCAAATCAGTGGTAGAATCGTAGAATCATAGTATCATAGAATAGTTAGGGTTGGGAAGGACCTTAAGATCATCTAGTTCCAACCCCCCTGCCATGGGCAGGGACACCTCACACTAAACCATGTCACCCAAGGCCTTGTCCAGCCTGTCATTGAACACTGCCAGGGATGGAGCATTCACAACGTCCCTGGGCAACCCATTCCAGTGCCTCACCACCCTAACAGGGAAGAATTTCCTCCTTATATCCAATCTAAACTTCCCCTGTTTAAGTTTTAACCCGTTACCCCTTGTCCTGTCACTACAGTCCCTAATGAAGAGTCCCTCTCCAGCATCCCTATAGGCCCCCTTCAGATACTGGAAGGCTGCTATGAGGTCTCCATGCAGCCTTCTCTTCTCCAGGCTGAACAGCCCCAACTTTCTCAGCCTGTCTTCATACGGGAGGTGCTCCAGTCCCCTGATCATCCTCGTGGCCCTCCTCTGGACTTGTTCCAACATTTCCATGTCCTTTTTATGTTGAGGACACCAGAACTGCACACAATACTCCAGGTGAGGTCTCACAAGAGCAGAGATCTATTTTGTTTTTCCTTCAGTAAGGTGAGAATTTAACTCTGAAAATCCTCTCTGAATTTGGAAGGTGACATCTTTACATAGTCTCTCTTGGTGATTGTTACCTTTTTAATGAGCTTAGTTCAAAAAACATAACCCTTAGAAATTCAGTAACTAAACTGGGCTTTGTGAAGATTAGTGTTTATAGTTAAATTCTCAAAATTAAAAATTGAGAAACATGGATATGTTGCTGAGGAACTTCACTCAATGAAGAACTCTTGGACTAGGTATTGTAAGACAGAAAATTCAGTTCTTAATTTGTGTAACTACTTCAGATACATTATCTGCAGTTTATATTTTTCACATCTTTTGTTTGCATCACTCATTGTGCTTGGTTTGTTTCTGTAGGCAGAAGCTATTGCTAAAAGTAGTGGATTATTATTAGAAAGACGACAAGAACTGCAGAAAGAAGTTGAAGTGATCAAGAGAAGTTTAATAGAACAGGTGCTGAGCTCCGCTTTCTCATGCTTTTTCACTGTAACAGTTGCTTTTCAATCATGAGAGTAAAGGAAAAAATTATGGGAGTTTCTAGGTGCAGCTTTCCAGTGATAAAACATGTGCTGTCTTTGAATTCGTTAGCATTATCGGGTGGGATTCAGCTTGTGTTTGAATACACATATATTCCGTATCTACATGTCACTGTTTGTGTATGTGGCATGTACTTAATGTGCCATGATAGTCAGTAACGATCTAGTCCTGTAGTCAGTGAAGCCTAGGAAGCCCTACATTCACCTTCTAAAGAGGTTAATCTCCACTGGGTAGAACAGATAGCTTTTTAGAGTTCATTGATTCTCAAACGACTCTAGGCATCTAAATACTTTGCTCCATTTTAAATGTCTAAATTTGGTCTCTTAATGTGAAAGCTCAGTCAGTGTCTTCCATTGGGCAGTGTGGACATGTCAAGACCTGACAGTAAAATCTTTTAAAGATTATATGGCCACAAGAAACCTTTCTGCCCAATGAATAATAGCCGAAAGACATGCTAGACGGAGGAACAGGAGTGCTTCTAGGTGATAAAATATTTGGACATGTTATTAAAAGGACTGCGCATGATGGTCCAGCTGTAATTTTAAAGCAGTTTGGGTTGGGTTTTTTTTTTAAATCCACATAGCCTATACACATGTTCACTTTACAGATAAACCCAAACTACTCCAATTTTGGGTTTGCCAACAATGGTGCATCAATGCATAAGGAATTGAATTTAATTTTCTCTAGGAAACGATATCAGGTATGGATGCCCACGGGTTACAAGAATGCATTGCTGAAGAAGGCTTGCTTTACAAAGAGCTGGAAAAAAGCAGAAAAGAGTTGTCCAGACTTGCACATCTGATACGGCTCAAAGTTGAAGAGAGGGAACAGAAATCTAGGGATGTTCAGAAAGTCCAGGTAAAAATCTGTCTGTCTATCTCATATAATAGGAATACTTTTCTAAAGTAAAAGCTGGTATAAGAAGAAATAACATTACTGGTGAGGGGATCCTTATGGACTCTCATTTCCCACTTTGAAGTTCCATCACAACACAAGAACCTCACTTTCATTGGCAATTTACAGTGCAGGGCAACAGTATATTAAAATATCATGCCACAATTGAAACAAGGTATTTGAAAGGATATTTTCTTTCAAGCCTATGGAGGAAAATGAACAATTTTGAAAGAAAGTGGCAGGAAAGCAGAGAGCCTCAACTGAAATTCTCAGAAGTACAAGTGTGTTTTATTTTACAAACATACGGCCATTAGAAGATAAAGAGAATTGCTACTCAGTCCAAGGACAGGAAGTAATTTTTATTTTCCTGTTACATTTCAAGGCAAAAATCATTATATTAATTTTAAAAAAGAGGCAAATAAAACTTTTCTTACTGAGCAGTCATTGTGTTTGCTGGTTTGTTGCATGCATTTTGCTGGCTTTGTAATATCATGTATGTGCTGTAAATATGCACAGTATCTGTGGCTATAAAGGGACAAACTACTCATGCTTCCACAGCTTATGTCCGTATTCAAACAAGTTAGATAGGCTACACTCCTAGCACCTTAGGGATCTTTGACTGTCTATAAAAACAGAATAAGCAAACATGTCATGCTTTGTTCCTTCAATAAAAGTCCATGAAAGGATAACAAATATAAATAAACAATACAAATTAAACAACACACAAACATGCCCAGAGCTGCAGCCCAGCATCCAGCAGCTTTTTCTAATGCCAGCCTCCTCCTCCTCCTGATACAATTGGGAAGAGAGAAAAGACCTGTCCATAGATGGTTAATGATACAGGCTATTAAGGACTGAATACCACTGAAATCAAAAGGTCCAGAGCCCTAACAGAATGAAAATGTGCCATTTTACTCAAGTATCAGTGCTTGTTTAAAAGCCAGAAAAGAGTAAAATAAAATTTGTTTGAAAAGCGGTGCATATGCCAAATAATTACACAGCGATGGAACTGAGAGGAAACAGTAGAACTCCAGATGTAAGGGACCAATCTTTCTAAGATGCAGCATCAAATTATCTACATTAACAGTTGTTGTAAGCTTAATATACATAGGAAAAGTGTGGCCTTTAATGTTGTTGCAATAAAAGCATTAAATTATAATTAGAATAAGTTCTTAGAATATTCTCATCTCAACATATTTTCCTTGACTGGTTTTACAGTGGTTTATTAGTAAAAACAGCTGTTCCGAGTAATTTCTTTGAAGACATTTCTTTGATATATCTAAAGTGCTCACTGAATTCTATTTAAATTCCAGATACAACTCCAAAATGTTATTAAAGAATTAAAAAGAAAGGATCTTGAAATAAAAGACTTTGAAAAGAGGGGAAGAAAAATCCAAAAAGAGTAAGAGAATAATAATAACAACACATTAGCTAAAAAATGTGGTTTAATGCAATTTTTATCCAAGTTGTGTATGCATAAAATTCTAATAATTATTTCTTTCACGTTTGTAATTTCTTCAGACTCCAAGGACTTGCTAAAATAAATGAGGTTGTTCAAAATGAAAGGAGTAAATGTATGGATTTGGTGCATGCTGCTCATCAGAAAGCAAATGAAATTAAAAAACGGGTAAAATTGATAGAAAAGGAAATAGAAAATTTAAGGAATACTCTTATAACCAAGGAAAGGTGAGTTTAAGTAAGCTGTAGGTCACATCTGCAGAAATGTAAGATTAGAAGGAATCTTGAGAGAGAATCTAGTCTAACTTCAACTATACCTTTATCATGCTTGATAGTCATTATGTTGATTTCTAAAACCTGATTCAAACAAAGACATTTAGCAACACCCTTACATAATCTAATTTCTGGTCACCCTAACACTTCACAATTAGCTTGGGCATCACTGCATGACACAAGATATGTCTGAAGTTTGTCTGGCTACTCATCCTTCAAAAGGATAAAGTGTCATCGCTTTCTTTTGATCACAGTTCTTATGAGCCTCTAGCATCTGTATTAGCATGCTCTTTCATTCAATACGAACAATACTGTTGTAGTCACACTTTCTACCCTTAGACAAAAAGAGGTCCAACGCATATACAATTCCACAGTGGACTGGTGTATGATACTATTAAATGAGTCACTATCTAGTAATGCAACTGTGTAATTACTGAATTAAAACAAACTGGGTCTCTTGGTTCAAACTCAAATTGAAGTTTATTGGAAAACATTTATTTCAAATAAAATGACACATGGTTTCAATTTCCAGGCAATCCTAGTCAAACTAAGAATTCACAACAAAGAGGATGAGGCAGACAAGTGGTGCTTGTGACTCTATTTTTTTCCAAGACCATTATTTAGTGGGGATAATCTTTTTGCCATCTTTTTGTCATCCTAGTGATGATATTCTGCAATATAGGCAGAACGACAATGTCTCTGAAATCGGTAGTTGGGAAAGTAGAAGGGTAATGAATGAAGAGTTAACCGTGTATAGAAAACAGCACAGACAAAACTAAGTAGCTCAAAAATAACTTGATTTTCCCAAAACTTTTATCTTTTGGTGACAAAAATTTGCACAACTGGACCAAAGAATGCATTCAGGTTACAGTCACTCAAAGTGTATTGCGAATCTCCAAGTAGGTTGATTTCAAAGTCATGCTGGGGCTAGCTAAAAAAGAAGTGGAATGTCAGTGGTTTAAGTGATTTTGTCAAGATGCTGACATTTTGTGGAACAATTCTTGAGTCCTTCCCAGTCAATTTCTGATGAAAGGAATAAAAAAGACTAAGAAGGCAGATCTGTATTGTCTAGATACCAAACATATCTAATTATTATAGATGACCCTACTCTGGTCTAACAGGCATTTTGATCTCTGCAAATCTAGATTTATAACTAGCAAGAGGTACTGAATTTCTAGTAGTGGAAATGCCTATGGAAAAAAAAAAATTCATCCCAGTAAGAGACTTGAGTATCACAGCATCACTGACTTACCTGCAGTCTGCAGTTTTGAGGACAGACAAGTGTCAGTCCAAATAAAATGTTTATCAGAAAATATTCAATAACGTATCTTTACTACTGTCATGCTTCTTGCTTTACAAAAGTTTAATTCAATTTAGCAACACCATGTGGAACTCAGAAGTGTTACACACATGGGGAAATGAACCAGAAAGCAGCTCACTGCTCTTTATATGGTGATGCAGCAATTTAACGATGGAGCCCATGAGGGGAGGTGGATATTTCATCTGCAGTTCTGTATCTTAACGGAAGACTGTGCTTCTCCTTTCACTACCTCTTTTGTATGTTGACACAAATATCTTCCCAATGTAGATAAATAGTATCTTGATCAACAAGTGATACTTACCACAGATTAAATGCAGTAACCCTAACTTCCATGTTGTACGAAAATGAACAATTTGTATAGCAACAAGAATCTGTCTTTTAAGTGAGGGTGGCCAGCAAAGTTGCTAGAAATAATGAATTCTGTTCTTCATTTTTGTGTATTTTTAGTGTGATCTTGTCATGAACCTTTTGATTTTATCTCATCTGTCAGACAGGGGAACTGACAATTTTCTGCCTTGTGTGCATGTCGTGATATGTTCTTTTATAAACTTGGAGAGCTTTGAATTGCAAGCACAAAATTATTTACATATTGATCTCTCGTTAAATAGAATGGCAGGATTTCTACGCATTAAGACTTTGCATGACATTTTATTCTTCTGCTCTTGAGCTTCATTTCCTATGGCCCTTAGGGCTACCCAGTAGAGAAGAGCTGTAGTGCAGTGCACCATTTGTAGCATTTTACTTGGGCCATAATCCAGTTCTCTTCAAGCTGTAAAAAGCTTGCAGAGAGAAGCTGTTCTCAGAGAGCCTTTCTACTTCTTGTAATGCATCTGTGAAGCAGAGTGATATAGAAGATCCTTTGTGTATTTGAGGAATTAGTTAAAGCTCTACTTTTAATTGCTGAAATAGCTTTCAAATCGAAGGGGCTAAAAACTTTCCTACTTTTATGTCATGTTAAAGAAAATTGCAGAAACAACAGCTGAAGAATACAAACAATATAGCGATTATAGACAGTCTCAAAAGTGATTGCCTCAAAATTCTGCAAGCCATGCAAGAGGTGAAAGAGAAGAAAGAGCAGCGGTACTCAGTTCTTGAGAGACTCACCACTACAGTCACCCAAATTGAAGAGGAGCTTGTGCAGCTACACAAAAGATATGAAAGAGCTCTTCAGCAACAAAATGAGAGGTATTCAGGACAACTTGATAGAATGTGCTGTTTGACATTCATGAAGCTTATGAGCACTCCTAGTTAGTGATACTGAAAGACTATGAAAGCCTCAATATGTTTCCCTAAGCACTCTGCCTCGCTGCAGTGTCAGTGCTGCTCTGTATCACACAGATGTTGGTTCTCCATTGCTGATGATGTTCATACTTCAGATCTGCTATTAAAAACATATAGTGGCTTGACTGCTGAATGTCTTGAGTATTTGTAGCCTCCTGCTCTGTTTGTGCTTTGTACACAGGTAAGGTATAAAAATGCAGAAGATGTAAAGCTCCCTGATCCAGTTAATCCATCTTTTAAATGAATGCTGTGGAAGGCCAGAAGAGTTTTTAGAATTATATGAGAGACTAGAGTAACTTCTGCAATGATTTGTTCTCTGATCGTCACACTGCAATGATTTTTGTTACCTATTTAAAAGGTTAATATGATATTAAAGTAGCATTTGTAAAAGGTTTGTGTGTTATCCCAGATTATTACTATTGTCCCAGGTCACCACTTCTGTTCTTGGATGGAATACACTGACTACGAATAACATTTTTTTAAACTTTACCTTTTCATTTGGGGCTTATTCCAGTGGCCTTCTGCTCAGAGACCGGGAAGAAGAATTGTGCATTTTATGTGAAAGGATACACACACAAGAGATACTGTGTAGAAATGGAGATCTTGAGATTCAAGTTATGGATGAAAAGATCAAATTTCTGAAGGTGAAGGTAGATGAGAAGAAGAGAGAGATTGAATTATTGCTCAAAACGCTCCCAGTAAAGAAAGCCCTGGATGCACAGCTGGTGATGCTTCAGATACAGGTTGGTGGGAAAGCAAGCCTTGTTTTTGGCTTGTCTTTTTCTGTATTTTAAAACTTAAGTTAATTTCACAGGAAAAAGTGCCTGGATTTAGGAGGTTTATTTAAACAGATATAGTTCAGTAATAGCAAATAGTCTAGCAATACAATAGTCCAGCAAAACTTGTCTGTGACTGGCTGATGCACTTTGTTATGCACATGCGCATTCCAAATGGAATCTCAGCTAACCCTCCCCATAGCATGAAATGTCAGTGTGACTAAGCTGGAGAATGGGAGTCATGGGGAAAAAATGGCAGTGTAGATAAAGTTTACTAAAACTGTATTGATGGGGGTAGGTGGGAGGGGTGGGAGATATACTTAGTCCTTCCAATTCCTAAAATAATAACTCAATTCACACTTGACCCTGGGCCTACTCTGGAAACTCTGCTGCCTACAATGATATAATCCACATAGATTTTCTTCTCCACAAAAACAGTGTAAGTTTTAGTTCTAGTCACAAACTGACATTAAACAACTAACAAACTGCAGTGCTTGGGACATTCTTTCCTTGCTTTGTGAAATGGCTCATTTACTTCTGACCTTATCTCCAGATGGTAATTTTTTCCATACATACTCTGTTAGTGCCTGCACAAAATTGTAAATTAGGGTGTACATCGCCTTTCGTAATGGCATCGATGGGAGCTGTGACTCACTGCTAAATAGTGCTTGCACTATTCTGCTGCTTCTTGGAAGCTGTATGCTCTGCTAAGAGACTAAAATGTTGTACATTACCTTACGCAAAATCATACCACAAAGGACTTTACAGTGCTGTTACAGATTTAGATGATGAAAAGAATGAGCATGAAAATAGACAATAGACAAAAGAAAAGTGCCACGTTTTCAGGTGAGATTTGGAAAGAGACTGGGAGTCACTGAGCACTGAGTCACACAGTGCAGGTGATTTCTGTGAACTAAGTCAATCACAAAGCTTTGCTTTTTCTGTTCTGCATTTCTAAGTCTTTCCCCTTAGTTATGATGGTTCATGTGAAGCCTAAAACCACTGTTAAAGGGAGGTTATTGTTATAGGTGCTTTTAGTCTTTCTGTGGCATTGACATAAAATTAAAAAGCAGGAAAATACAGAGTGGTGTGATATTACAGATGGAATAGTCTTAATTAATGTTCCCAAATCAGAGATTTTCCAGTGAACAATGGCAAATAACCAGTTATCAGCTTTCAAAATGTAACTAGATGCTGTGGTTACTGAATATATTACATAGTTCAAAGTGGCCATTAACCCAGCCATCTCCTTATGCTCAACTGTTCTAGCATTAATACTGTTCCTCCCACTGCCAATAGCCACTATATCTAGGGAGAAACACCTTCAAGCTCTTTGGCTTTATCTCCATGATTTAAATAAAAGTCACAAGCCCAAACCTGAATTCTGGTGTTGGTTTCCAAATTCAGATTGCTAATACCTGTACTGATTACAGATTTGGCCGCATGTTGAAATCCAACTTGGCATCTGTTCAGTTATGGTATGAAAAGGATCTTACGATGCTGATCATTTGCACAAGACTTTGCATTGGTGTGATGAATACAGATCTAAATCACTTGTCTATGAAACCAACCTCTGAAGCCAAGCTGAAATCTGAAGAGGTGGTAGCAGGAGCTCCTTTTGGGCTACTCTTTGTCTGTCTTTCGGTTTAAATAGTTATAAATGTTCAGAGAGAGTCTCAGTGCACCACAGGATGATGAAATCCTGATTTCTGTCAGAGACCTTTAGAACTCCTAAAATGCAGACTGTAAATATGTTTTCTAAGATTTCCTCATCATTTCTATTTCTCCATTCTGTTGTGACCTTATGTAGGAGCCAGGGTGCCTAACCTTCACTTCGGGTTAGGAGCCCACAGGAAAAATTATACAGATAAGTGAACAAGGTCTCTATTAATAGAAAGAAGTGTGTGTCTTTGCCTTCAGAGGGAGATCCTGATTTTGGGAGCACAGTACTCCTCCTGGAGGTCTTTATTCTCAAGGCACCTGCCTCTCTTTATCCATGGTATGGAGAACTTTGAATCATGTCAGGATGCTTCAAAAGGCATCTACAATTGAAATACAGTATAGATCATCTGAATTAGGCAGGATGAATCATGTATGTCCTAAATTTTCTTCTCCCTTTTTCCTACCTTTCATGTCTCTTTAAGTCTTGGGTATTTTTCAGACTTTGACATCTTATCTGTCCTGTTTTTCACCTCTCCTGCATTTCCCAATCTTCCCATTTCCCCAGAACCTTTTTCTCACTCGAGAGGTGAATTAAACTTTCCAGGATTGAATGCCAAATGATTCAACAACAGATGTATTTATTTCTGTTAGAGATGCACCTCTTGGAATAGTGGGATGAATGAGTAGGTTTTACTCTACAGGCTGTAGAAACTGCATCCCTGTCTTGGTGGCAATTGTGCCCATTTGGAAGGTGAAAAGCACAAGTCAGGGCTGTGTGGCAGCAAGAGCAAAAATTTCACACAGGTCTCCTGTATCCCACGAGCTCCTTAATCATCAAACTGATCTATGTCCCACTTCTACACTTTCCATCCAAAGCTGCCTGTTTCCACAGCAGAGCGAAACACGGGTGAATAGTTTTAGCTAATGAAATACCATTGTCTTAATCAATACCAGACTCTTCTAAGCAAGTGCTGGTGACATGGACTGAGTATTTTTGTTACCATCAAAGTAAAGCATTAAAACCAGAAATATTTGCAGGTACTTCCTTTGTCTGATACAAAAAATACCTGGTGAGATGCTAAGGTGGTTTCCTCTGGGCATAAAACTATGTAACTTTAGATTGGGACTGCACAGCACAGGGCTGTTCCCACTGACTGGAATGATCCATGAAACTAAACTGCCTTCATGCACCAGAGAGAAATACTTAGCATTAATCATTAATTAGTCCAACACGTAGATGTGCTGAGCTGTCACGATAGGACTTTCATGCCTCAGAGTTCAGCTGACGTACAGGGACTGACAATTTATTTGAGGCATTTGGCATCAGTGTTTGTCCAAGTTTTAGATTAAAATCTCCACACTGCATCATTAAGGAAGATTTTCTTAACCTTTAGCTTGGGTCTTTCTTGCTGCAGTGTGAGAGCATTGATTTGTGCTCTGTCCACCAGGGACGTGACAAACGGATCATTCTCTTCCTCCCTGCAGCATTTCCTGTTACTGGAATGAAGTTAATCACATTCCTCTCCCATCCTTTTGCTAGGCTACACAGCCCTGGTTCTTTCAATCAGCCTCACAGATTTTTCTTAGATCATCTTTTTTTTACTGCTTTTATTTTGACAACTTGGTCTCTTTCTTGAGGTGCACTGCAAATATCAGTGCCTGAGAGTGAAAGAATTCATTGAGGCATCTTGCAGGTTACATTCCTGCTTATGTGTCCAGGTACGATGGTGCCTTCCTTGCAGCATGACATGATTCATCTTCATGTAAATGTAACAACCAGACCCTCTTTTAAAGAATCGGTTGACCTTGATTCCGTACTTGTGCAGTTTTTTCTGCCTACATGCAGTGCCCTGCATTTTTTATTTAATATTATGTCTTTTGTTCAAGCCTTTCTTCAGACCAAGATAAGTTTGAATTTAACTGGCTATTTACCTCATATTTTCATCAAGAACCCATTTCCTTGGCTTGTTTGTGAGAATGTCACATGAAACCATATCAAAGCTGTGTCAAATCAAGACATAAGATACCCACTATTTGTTGTCCACACACCTGTAAATTATCACAGTAGGGAAGTGGTCAGGTCTAGTATGACTGTCGTGGTTTAAACCCAGTCAGGTAACTCGTTCACTCACCCCCCCACACACTTCTTTCTCTCCCCCTGCTCCCGGAGGGACGGAAAGGAGAGTCAAAAAGAATGCAACTCCCACGGGTTGAGATAAGAACAGTTTAGTAACTAAGGTATAACACAAATCACTACTGCTACCACCAGTGATAATAATGATAAAGGAAATAACAAGGGAAGAGAATACATCATCTCACCACCAGCCGACCGATAACTCGCCCCCCTCAGCCCAACCAAGCTCTGACTGATACCTCCTCCAACCCTGCAGTCTCCCAGCCCTTCCGGCTAACTCCCAGTTACATCGTGGGCATGACGTGCTGTGGTATGGAATACCTCTTTGGCTAGCTTGGGTCAGGTGTCCTGTCTCTGCTTCCTCCCGGCTTCCCCTCCTCCCTGGCAGAGTATGAGCCTCACAAAGTCCTTGGCCAAACCAAAACATTCTTGTTATCAGCTCTGTTCCCGAGCTGAAAGTCAAAACACTGCACTGCACCAGCTACCGAGGAGAAACATGACTGCTACTGCTGAACCCACAACAATGACCCAGCACACTTGTGCTCTCTGATGTCCTTTCTGCTTTTCTACCTTCATACAAAGAAAGTTTAATTATTTGTTCCATATTTATCCTTCAGAAAGTGACATTATCTATAGTTCCAGAGCTCCTTCCCCCCCCCCCCGTTTTAAAGCCTTGGTGTGATATTTGCCCTTTTCTAGTGCTTGATGTACTCACCTACCTTCTCCAAGATCTCCAAAATAAGCAGCAGATCTCCAGTTCTTCAGACCCATCCCTTTACCTAGGCATGTGTTCCCTCTTGTCCATCTGTCCTGCAACCACTCCTCCTGACTGATTACAAACAAATGCAGAAAAGCCTCTCTGATAGAGCCTTTTCTTATCCACTGTATCAAATCCACCCCAAGAAAGAAGTGATTTTTTTGGTTTGGTTTGGGACTTAGAATCTGTTAGAACTCATAAAGTTTTGTCCAAGGAAAATACTACGAATTAGGAGAAAATAAAAAAAGATGCCTATAGTCGCATCACTTAAGCAGTCACAGAATAGCATGGTTATCTTTAGATGTGCTTTGTTTTCCATACTTTTGGGTTAGCCTGCATCAAATCACTTCCAACTCATATTGCCTTTAAATTGAAGCTTAGTATGAAACTTGCTATGGAATTTCTTTCCATTTTGGACAGTGGTTGTGCTGTTTTAGTCCTTCTGCTCTCAATTAGTCATTCAGTCCTGCAAGTCCCTAATCTCATAAAGGCATCACCACCTCCACAACGCATTTTCACCTGGGCGATTGGTTGAGAAATCTGGCCCCAGCTAGGAAAAATCACTGGAAGTAGAGTTGTATCCTCTTATTTGTGCTGGTCCTGCTTTTACATTTTCCCCTGGCATGTATTCTTTGGCTTGAGTTTTAGTTGGTCAGAATTAAAACAAATCTTCCAGTACCTGGTTACACACTGAATCATGGTTTGCCAAGGAAATTGTTCATTACAGTCATTTAAGGTTTTTCCTTTGCCTTGTCTTAGACCAAGTGCAAAAGAAAGTGCTGTGCGACACTTTTTTACCATAACAAGCAGTATTTAAGACCAGTGCTCTGGTAATGGTCCATTACCACCCCAGAAGATCTGTTGGCTTTCCCTCTTCCAAGACTTGCAAATTTACAGGGACCAAACCATCCTGGTAGCAACATCTAAACATTGATTTTGTACTTCTGGTGACTGTCCCTAACCTTGAGAGTTGGTGACCACTTATTTCCTTAATATAGTATCTGATGGTTAGAATTCCTAGCAATGTACTTGGGTCATGTTATGTCAGTGCCAATACATCGTGGCTGCAATAACAATGCACTGACAGCCAGGTGCATGTCCAAGCAAAAAACCCCACCGCTGTTTTGCAAGTGCAAACATGAAGAATTGTTCCCAATCGCTCCTTCAGGAAGTGCTTATGTGAAGCATGGATCCATCCAGTGTGTTCTGGGAAGCGATATTCCATAGGAAGGTCTCACATCAGCGAGGTCAGGGAACACCTGCCTCTGTGGGTCCTGGGAGTGACACATTGCTCAGTGTCACCACTGAGTCACTTCAGGACACGTGCCTGGAACTTTACCACAGAAAACTTGGATGCCTGCACGGATGGGAGCATCAGTGTCAACCAGTGGGGAAGCGGGATGCTCAGGTTTAACTTGCAACCAGACTGTCAGGCACATGCATCCTTCCTACATCCCTAAATTGATCAAACATAAGATTGTACGGAATAAAGCAAGACACCCCATCCTAAAAATCTGGTGTATTCCTGAGGATAAAAACATAGTCTGAGGACAGACTCAACTGGTGGGACTCAACTTCTGGCAGACATCAGGGTCTTTGTCTTGCAGCTGTCAAAATGGAGTTCCCTTTAAGAGTAACTAAGAACATCTTATGATCTTCCATATTTACCCTCCCTCCCTTGCAGTACAAGGAAAACTTGTCTGTGAATTCTGTGGGTCAGGCTCTGGGGGTGAGGTAGATGGGGACAAGCTACCACTGTGAGTCCCAGTGGAGTCCCATGCAGCCACCTCCATGCTGGAGGCACTGCCTGGGCCGGGCTGCAGAGACCCAGGCAGGTTGAAGGAAGTGGTGCCAGCACAGGCTCCCACCATTCCCGGCACTGCTGTCCCTCCTCAGGTTGGAGCTGGAGCTGTGGCAGGTCTCAGCTCACCCTAGCAGCCAGGCTCTGTCTCCTGCTTGCAGACAGCTGCCCTGAGCCCACCCCACTGCAGCCCAGTGCAAATCACCCACAGGTCTTCATCCAGGCCACCCAGCAGGGGCCGAGGAAGGGATCACTGCCTGGAACAGCCTTTTTCTGGGTTCCCAAACACGTTCAGAAGGTAAAAATCATCTTCCAGTACAGGGCTCTTGTGATTCCCAGTGGCTCAGTGAAGAAACCTCCTCTGTGTGGCTAAATTAACACACAGTTTCAGATGGCTGTGTTGCACATGGAAGAAGAGTCAAGGGAACAAGTGTTTGAGACCCTGGTTAATGGTTTAAACCATTAGTAAGATGAAGCTGATTTGTATTTGTGCATTATAGGATGACTTTCTGTGACACAATCTGCTCCTTTTCAAATTGCCATTCATGAGCACTAGGACAGGAGAATGAGGTCTGCACACTGCCAGTTCTGCAGGGAAGTGTTTCCTAGTGTTTGACCAGCATCATTTTGCTTAGATTTATACCCCATCCCACCCCAACCTCCTCCCAAAGCATCCAAGGCCAGAGTCTTACTTCTAAGTCTAGGTGGTGGCAGAGCAGCCATGGCAGTCCCTTTGGTGTGGTTATCCTGGTATGAGTTACAGAGGCCTTCCATCTCTGGTCACACTTTTGGCTTCTTGTCTGTCAAAATACTGTCTGTTTTCATTTTCCAGCATTCCCAGTGCAAGGACAGGATTAAACAGATGGAGGAAATCTCTGCTGACCCCGCAAATAAGAGCAGAAAGCGAGAACTGGGAGGGAAGGACCCATCTCCACCTGAGCTGCTAAAAAAGATTGAGCAGGTAAGATCACTTCTCACATCCCAAGCTATCCCACTGTATTTAACCTCTTAGAAAAAGCAATTGGTATCTTTCATTTTAAATGTAAACTTTCAGTAAATAATAATTACATGTGAGAATAATTATGATTGGCTAATGGGAACTTTGCCTTCTTACAGCAGGGGCTGGAGGAGGAAGCTCTGTGCAGTTTCCCCAGCTCCCCAGCAACCTCTGCCAGCCTGGCCAGTCACAGCACCAACCTGCACATTACAATACGGGGCGGGGGGGGTGTTCCTTGGAGTCATAAGATTAAGTTCAGATATTCTTTTTTTGACCTCCCTGTGATTTTAAAGTTATTTTAGTTGTATGGTACTTACTTTCTACTTCTTAAGTAGAAAAATGGTACTTTTTTACTTCTTAGTGTTTGGAGCCTATACTTTATTTCTTAACAGCAGGAGGGAAAAGGTATTCAAAGCAAGAGCTGAAACCACCTCACTATGGTGTGACTCAAGGAACTGGAAGATTAAAAATTATATATATATCACTAGGAAAAAAAAAGCATTGCTTGTAAGAAAACCACAGCAAGGCTGTAATAATGCTGCTGAATCCCCCTGCCCCTCAAGAGGACCTGGTCTGGTACTGAAGAACTGACAGTAACCAACTGAACCAACTTGGGGTGATAGCTGGCAGGGAGGGTAAAAATTCTGGAGATAGCTGGTGGTGAAATGATGACTTATGGCTGTTCACCAGTATTATTCCAGCAGCTCCCAAAGCAATCACACCTTGTGCTGCACCTTCCCCTCTCGTTTACCTTCTCCCTGCCTCATTCTTCCCACTGCAGCTGGAGATGGAGCTGGTGCAGAAGGAGGAGAAGTTGCTGGAGACAGATCTTCTTTACGAGCACCTTTCCCGGCTGCTGAGCAGAGTCCATGCCGCAGCAGAGGACAGGAAGAAGGACACGCTGCTGACAGCTAAGAGGGTAAGAAGGGTACTACGCGCCCGCGTGCCAGCCTACACTAAATGGAGCAGTATTTGGGCAAGAAGTAAGATGACTCACTTGTGAGTTACAAAAGCAGCTGGAAACACGGACAGGCAAATCATGTTAGCCTTCAGAACATACAGATGTGTAGCAGTGATGGAAATACAGACATACCGAAACCATTAGGTGAGTGTACCTGCTTTTTGAAAGCTGCACCACCAGTAGCACCTTTCAGCAAGATACAGGACTAGTTCTTTCTCAGGTAATATCCTCCTTTTGCACATGCACTTAACAGCCTTGCCATAGCAAACACGTCAAAGCTAAAATATCAAGAGCCAGGTGGATTCTACTCCAACACACAAAACCAAAAACTCAGTATCTGGCTCAGTTTCTTTGTTATTTAGGCAGGGAGAACTACACAGGAAAGAAAACTCATTTTCAGCAGTTACTTTTATATAATTACAGCTATTTCCTTTTAACTGCCTACAATACCGGTTGGGGAAGAGCAACAAATCCTCTTCCCACCTCCTTAAAAAAAAAAAGCTGAAAAGAAGAGTAGAACTCAGTGAAAGACAAAAAAAAATGTTGAGTAATTCATGTAAAACAAGGCCAAGGTTGATCGGTTTTTTCCTTAGGTGTTAGATTTGGGACTCAGAAAGGCACAAAACACATCTTCATCATAAAGCTTTAATTTTCCACAGAGAAACAACTTGACTGTTATTTGGGTTTGTGAAATCATGTCTATGGGATAATAAACCACTGTAAAACCAGCAGCGTGCCGGAAGTTAGACTCAAAAGTGCTCCAATTCTCCCAATTCCCTATTAGTCACTTAAAAAAGAGTATGTTTCTTTGGGGGAGTGTTGTTTAAATCCTCTCCAGTCAGACTCAGTGATTCCTGTCCCTTTCCTGTTCTGTTCGCTCCCCTGCCAAAGAGAACTTCCCCACTGTGTCCACATTATCACTCAATTACCTTGTAAGGATCAGGCTTATTGCACCCTTATTACAAAGTTAATTGTGCATAAACTCAATGAGCATCTGGGTACCAGGCTTCTGAGGGCAGCGGGAGCTGTGCTGCTCAGCTGGAAAGGGCAGGAGGTAATTACACACTTGCTTCTCTGTATCTTGTAGCATAGTCAATGCTGCCAGTTACTGTGGTTCCAGGTGCACACAGAAACACACCACCTGTTGCATTAAGTCATTTTCAGTATAGAGCTGGTTTCTAAAACCTTATCTGGTTGGACTTCGTGTCACATACCTAACACTTACCTGAGTGTCCTGCCCAGCAAGTGTCTTTAGGGAAGCCCTAAAGAAAATGCAATTGTTATTTATTCCAGACAAATGACACGAAGAAGAAGATAAAGGCAAGAACTCAGAAGATGATGGCTCTTGTTGCAGAGTTATCCATGCAGCAAGAGCTTGCCATTAAACTCCAGCAGGAAGTGAGAGACAAGGAGCAATTTTTGATGATTGTTTCATCAAGGATAGATCAAGGCCTTCCCCCTCCTGAAGAAATAGAGAACGAGTGTTTGAAGATACTACGCAATGAGAAGATGCAAAAAGAAGCAGCTGAAGCCAGAGCTAAAGTAAGTTTTTGCCACACATTGCAATTAATCTCTTTTCACTGCTCTAGCTTGTCTTTTGGAAAGAGCTGTGCTCGCTTGCTGCGTAACTGGTTGCTGCCAAACACAGAGCTCCAGGACCCTGGAGATGATGGCACAGGCAGAGATAACTACTGAAATGGTACACTGCAGTCCGGCAACACCACTTAGAACTGGCCCTTGAATCTTAGGGAGAGAATGCACTAAAAGGAAAACACACCTTCAGTTATTAAAGTAATTTGTGAGATCCTGTTGAGGGCTGAAGGGTGCATCCTGTGTTCCACCTCTGCAGAAGGTGGGGTTGGGCTTCAGGAAAAACAAATTTTGTGTCTTCCACACACCAGAGGCAGTGAACATCAGATGAGAAGGAGCGAGAAACCAGACTGCTGGGCAAGGCACTGAGGGGAGGCAGGGCAGTGTAGCAAACAGTGCTTCAAACTGTACCCTGCTGGGTACTTTCCCTCTGTGGCTGAGACCATCAGTGATCCCAAAGAAGAAAAAGCAGTATCAAGGAGAGATGTGCATATAGAGGGAACTCTCGCTGATGGGAAATTAGCTTTCCTGTACGACTCATTTAGTTATCACTGCAAGGGACCTGAAAGGTGCACAAAGCTGGGAGAGGAACACACTGTGCATACACTAACAAGAACCTGAACTCGCACAGAAGTGCTGCAGTAAAACTGGGTTTAGGATAAGAAACTTCTCTGTCATTAACACTTCTCATGCTATGATTCGGTTTCCTTTCAGTGCTGTGGATACAGCAGTAACTGTATGGAGGTATGTCAGTGTAAATAAAGCCATTTTGAAGCATCAAAACTATCATCTTGTTCCCAAGATGTTCTGTGACACTCCCTACAAGTTTTAACAATCTGTTTTCTTCACAAATAACAAAAGCATTAAAGGCTCAAACTGCTTAGTATTTGAAAGGACAAACTCACATCTACGTAGTCAGTAACTCATGCTTTTCTTCCAATCCCCCTCTGGGCATCCTGGTTTGCTAAGGATTAGACAAGGCACTTCCTCTGTGAGGCATCCTGTACACTGGCTGAAGAGAGCACCGCAGTGTAAAGTACATAACCCCTGTTTGTTCCACAGCGCGCTGCAGAAGAGGAACAAGCTGCAGCACCCGGCTACATCCGCACAACAGCCGAGCCACGGCCCACCGCCTACATCCCCGATGACGAGCACAGCCTCCCGCTGCCGCGGCCCTATGGTGCTCTGGCTCCCTTCAAACCAGCTGAGCCTGGGGCAAACAGGAGGCATTTCAGGAAACCTGTGGTGAAGCCAATCCAAGTCTGAACAGGCAGCACCTGAGGCAGCAGAGACCATCGCCGGCTGCTGCATCCCAAGGGTCAACAGCATTTACACTACACTGAAAGCATGTCTGTTGTCATTCAGCCAAATTGAATACTGACCACAAAGTAGCTGTTAATGTCAAAAGCACAGTGACTCCATGCCGTGGTTTAAACCGTGTCGGCAAGTCAGCCACACAGTTCACTTCCTCACTCCCCCCACCTCTCTCCAACACCACCACCCCCCCCCTCCCACCCCTGCTCCCGGAGGGACGGGGAGGAGAATCGAAAGAGCGTAACTCCCACGGGTTGAGATAAGAACAGTCCAGTAACTAAGGTATAACACAAACCACTGCTGCTGCCACCAATAATAATGATGAGGGAAATAACAAGGGAAGAGAATACAATACCAACCGTCGATACCAACCCTGACCAAGCAGTGAGCCATTCTCTGTTGGGATGACGTTTGGGGGGAAGTCAGGACCAGTCAGTGGTGACCTGAAGGCATCTAGTTGGTGCACTGTAAAAGTATTACACAGCAGGCAACAGCATACAGTTGAGTTCATTGGCTGTTTTCCCCTAAAATCAAATCCCCCTGAGGTACACATCGGACTTCCCCATCTTCCTACATTACCCACCAAGTATATCCGGGTCCCTGAGCAAAAGCAATCCCACGAGTGGGTTTGCCTTTACCTGAAGCAGGAATAACCCAGACTGTCTTCTTAACAAACGAACAAACAACAGAACCATGTCTCGTGCCCTCTAAAGAGATTATATTTTGTGCTAATTATAAAACTGAATATATTAGAACCCAACTCCAAAGACAGCAGTACCATAAGGTAACACACGACCACCACGAGGGCTGAACACGTCATTACTGATGTGTTATATACAAGAACTGATTTATCATTTGTTATTCTTACCTGCTTTACATAATCACACCAAGAAATAGTTTTATTCATCTAAATGAGTAAACAATTACTGGTCTCTTGTTATGGTACAAGATAACTGGACTACCTTTCACAGGATTGTCTAGCTGGTTAAGATAACCGACACATATCAATTTTCACAGCATGTTTCGATACCCGCTGTAGTTCCACTGACTGACCACTTCAAAGCGAAACCACAGATATATTTCAAACCTAGGCTTGTGTCAGATGCATTTCTGTAAGGTGTATCTCAAAGTCAGTAATTGCACCATTAATACATTGGACCAAACACTGCTTTGAATAGTTTACGTCCATAACGGTGGCTACCCAAAACTGCAGGTGACCTGGGAAACAACGTGACATTTAAGTTTCAAAGAAAAAACTGATCGCACACTTGCTTCTGTGTGAGTACTTCTGATGAGAACCACAGCTGGGCAGCCTTCAACAGGGGCGACTTCAGGAATATTTGAGACCCAAAAGCGTCATGGTGTGTTTGAGTGCTGTTTCCTCCACAAATCTTACATTGACGTGGTCTTGTTTCTCATGTGGCTGCACACCTAGAGACGCATCATGAGAGAGTCAGTATTTACACCATTATAAGTGCTGTCATACACTCAGCCCTGCAGTCGGTTATAAACACCATCAACAACAGATGAGGTAATAGGTGGAACTGTGCTTTCACTTACACAGAATACCTACAGCTTTCAGTGAGCTGTTTGGATGCTCACCATGGCAAAAAAAAAGCCCTGTCAGTGTGGTTAAGTAAATGATAACACATAGAGAGCAAAGCTAGCGCCCCTCTGGGGCTGCCAGGGATTTCCACATGAATTCTACACAGGAGATCTAAAAGAAGATTTAAGCACAGTGGCCATGTTAGTGCTAGTACGTAACAAGGACCAGAGCACATTCCCATATACTTGTAACTCTTTCCTTCCCAAAGAGGAATATGAATATATCCATACATGGACAATCTTATTTTACCCTGTAGATCCTTATCCTGACCTTATTTTGCTTATTAGTACAGGCACAGCCAGCAACGCCAAACAGCACAGTGCTTCCCTTAGCACACCTTGCTTTTTCAGTAGAATTCAAAATCTTCAGATGCTGATGTTCACTGTCTGAAACAAGTGCCCAAACCAACTGTATTTCACAAACAGGAACAGCTTTGAGATGAAAATATTACTTCAGAGAACCTCCTATTTTAGCAGTGCTCGTTTCTGAGGTGGCAGATCTGATCTGGGCTGCCTCTTAACCACCAGACTGTATAAACAAGGAACAAGCCCTTCTCCCCATCTGAACACAGAATAACAGCTACCACCATGGAATCCTGTGCATGAACCACGATTCACTATGCGTGTTCTCAAAAATGCAAGTTTACCAACTGGATCCAACACACAGAGGATGTGCAGTGAAGAAGCCTCCTGACAATTCCCATCAGCAGAAAGACAACCAAACCTACATGTCCAGACATCACTGCAGTTGTAGAACTCGGTTATGTCAATAGAGGCAGGGTACTGCCAAGTGTGATCATCAAAAGTAACAATTACTGGTCTTCCAAAGTACAGAATTAACGTTACCTTGATTCTCTATCTCTGCCAACATACTGGTCAGGTAGTTAAGTGGCAAAAACTCTACAGGGACCGAGAGTCTCTCAGGGACAAACCTGATACACTGTAAGGGAGAATATGTCAGGTTAATTCAGAGTTGCACAGTACCAAGCTTCAGTGTTACCTCCAGTGTGCTGTAGTTTACAGAAAGGTCAGGAACCTCAACAATGTCAAAGCAAAGGATTAAAGAATGTGCTCTCACCTGCCTGTTCTCCAGCTTCTCAAGCAAGAGCTTCACATATTTCTGTGCCATTAAGTTAGCATTGATTGGATGATTCCAAACCTGTCGGACTTTCTGACCAAAAGCCTAGTAAGCAAAAACAAACCCCCAAACCTGAGAACATAAACATGGAACAGGGGAAACTTGGGAGGGAGAAAGGGAGGGAAAAACCCAAAACAAATCCAAGCTATAACACAGATGCTTTGCTTTTGGACAGTGATGACAGAAGCTAAGAGATCACTTTTAGCCATGGGGCCTTTCTTTTACAAGCAGTAACCAAGAGGTTACAACATGCTCTCAAAATGTGGGGAAACAACCCAGACCTTGCTACTTGGTACCCATGGAGCTACACAGTAAGTTTCTATCAATTGGTGTGTCTTATTACCTCTGTCTCACTTTGCATGTGCACTTAAACATTAACAGGTGCTTAAAATGACTGTTTATCCTTTACTGTGACTCTCTGGCTTAGATCCAGTCTTCTCCCAAAGAACATCACCGATGCCCCATTCCTCAGTGCTCCTTCAGAATGGGGCTTCTTGGGCTCAGCCTAAGGAACGCTACAAAAGCGGAATGCCAACAAGGATAGATACTAGGAACATAGTTTGCATCCCATTATTTAGGACCTCATCCTGGGAATGGATAACACTGATTCCCATTCCCAAAGGCAAAAGAGACTCAAACCCAGATGTCCCAAAGCTCCTAATCCTAACCAATGAGCAAACAAATATGAACACACTGTGAAATGAGCTCCACCTTCTGCAAGTTTCCCTATCTAAATCTTTTTTTCCCATATTACTCTCAGCTGTATCACAATACAGACTACTGAAAGAGTTCATGTACAGTTTCAATGGTGCTTGAATACTTGCTTTTGATGCCACTGAAGTCATCTACTGAATGCTGCCTGCTCAAAATAGCCCAAGTCACCCCAAAGTGTCCTTTCTGGCAAACAAACTATCCTCTGCATTTTTTCCCAAAGCTGCAAATAGATACAATGGGGCACTGAGTCCACTGTGCATATGTAACAAGCAGTACATGTCCCCTACAGCACTCAGCTCAGCCTTTGGCAGCAAAACACGGGTGGAACGGTGCTCTCAGCCCACCAGGCCTGGGGCTGGCAGCTCAGAGAGGCCCCACACTGACCCCAGCTCATCCACCCCTGCCCAAAACAAGACACAGAGGACAAGGAACCTCCTGTGGAGCTCTCCTTCCCCACCCCTTCTCAAAACTGCTGCCAAATAAAGAAGCCCTTGTTTGAGGAAAATGAAAGTGGCACTTCTGGGCATGTGAACTATATGGACAGCCCATAATAAGCAAACAATAAGTAACTTATGTTGAGAAAAGCCTGTTCTACAGCAAGGCCCTCCCCAAGGGGGAATCCCTGGTGTTCATCTGCTCACTGCCATGTCATGCCTCCTCTGCAGCACTGTGGTGTGCACTGGGAGAAAAAGGGGAAAAGTAGAAGTCAGTTTCCCATTCTGTTGGAACTTTTAATGGAGCACGAGGAATTAGTTCTGAGTCACCTCAGCAGTAGGTGAGATGGGAGATTTCACAGAAGGGGAGATGTTGTAATTGAATCCCACCACAGTGCTGTGGTACAATCACATTTTACAGCTTTTACTGTACCGGCTTTTGAATACATTTGATTCAACGTGTAAAATCAAATGCTGAGGTCATGCGTGAGAAACGCATTTGCAGATGCTAAAAACCACAAACCCCCTCATAAATCCTCTTTAAACCCCATTAACCCCCTATTGCTTTATGCACAACAGAGTCAGTCTTGTCTGACTCCTGCAGGGTACTGGAGACACTGTAACACACTATGGACAAATGTGCAGTTTAAGTTACCAGGGTACCCTGCAGGTCACAAGCAGCAGACAGAGGTTCCATCACCTTGATCCTATGCACAGGGAGGAGCTGCCTGTGAGCTCCAAAATCCAAGAAACAACATCCAAAATCATTAGTTACCTCGGGAAGCCTCATGACAATACTGAACTTCAGCTTTTCGTTCTTCTCGGTGTCGTCCAGATCTACAAGACAAACACAAATAAACCAAAACCACACATGACTAAAACTTTCACTGAAGGCATTCTGAAAACACCTCTGTAATGAAATGAAAATGTTAATTTTAAATAAGGGCTAACAGGAGTGTCAGTCATGTTTATATCATTTACATAAACATTTTTCTGCGTATTTGTATGTAACTTCACCCTTTTATGTAACAGTATATTCTGTATTTATACAGTAATTCCAGTGTGTTTTGACTATGTAGAACTCCACATATTTATATTTATTTTATCAAGACCAGGCACAGATTCAGACAGCATATTGTGTGAACATATTTTCTTGAACAGTGGAGAAATAGCCCATTACAAGGGAACGTGGCTGCGGCTAT